TAAATAGTATCATTTTGTTCAGTATTGCTTTCTTTTTTTTTTTTTTTTCTGAGACAGAGTCTTGCTCTGTCGCCCAGGCTGGAGTGCAGTGGCCAGATCTCAGCTCACTGCAAGCTCCGCCTCCCGGGTTCACGCCATTCTCCTGCCTCAGCCTCCCGAGTAGCTGGGACTACAGGCACCTGCCACCTCGCCCCGCTAGTTTTTTGTATTTTTTTAGTAGAGACGGGGTTTCACTGTGTTAGCCAGGATGGTCTCGATCTCCTGACCTCGTGATCCACCCGTCTTGGCCTCCCAAAGTGCTGGGATTACAGGCTTGAGCCACCGCGCCCGGCCAAGCTCAGTCTTTGCTGTGTTTCTTGTTACACAGTTTTGTTACTCATTCTATACCAAGTTCAGTTTGATTATTTCTGTGCATATTATATTTTGTGTTGTCCCTCTATCCACGTTGGGTTTTGTTGCCTTTTTTTTTTTTTTTTTTGTTTTGAGACAGGGTCTCACTCTGTCACCTAGGCTGGAGTGCAGTGGTGCAATCTCAGTTCACTGCAACCTCTGCCTCCCACGTTGAGGGAATTCTCCTATCTCACCCTCCCAAGTAGCTGGGATCACAGGTGCCCACCACCATGCCCAGCTAATTTTTTTTTGTATTGTTAGTAGAGATGGGGTTACGCCATGTTGGCCAGGCTGGTCTTGAACTCCTGGCCCCAAGTGATCCATCCTCATGCCTTGGCCTCCCAAAGTGCTGGGATTACAGGCGTGAGCCCCTGTGCTTGGCCCTATGTTGATTTTTTAAAATTAAGAATATAAAGAAATAACTTGGTTTGGACATCAGAACTGAACAGAATGTTATCTTCAGGGGACATCTTCCCTGTCCCCATCCTTTCCACCTTGTTCTCATCCTACTATCCTTTTCAACCTTTGGGTTATTATTTTCTGAATAATCTTATCTGTATTTCCTTGTATTCAACATGAAGAGATAAATATACCTGTATATTTTATTATCTATTTTCCTTTTACTGTTTTTTTCGAGATGTAGTCTCGTTCTATCACCCAGTCTGGAGTGCAGTGGTGCGATCTTGGCTCACTGCAACCCCCACCTCCCGGGTTCACACCATTCTCCTGCTTCAGCCTTCCGAGTAGCTGGGACTACAGGCGCGCACCACCATGGCTAGCTAATTTTTGCATTTTTTGGTAGAGATGGCGTTTCGCCATGTTGGCCAAGCTGGTCTCGAACTCCTGACCTCAAGTGATCTGCCTACCTCAACCTCCCAAAGTGCTGAGATTACAGGTGTGAGCCAGCATGCCCAGTCTATTTTTCTAAAGAAAAGGTTTGCTACTGTAGCTACTGTTTTGCAGTTTACATTTGCACTTAATGGTGTATCTTAGAAATCACTCCATAGGAGCTCATGGAGGTCTTCATCTCCGTAGCTGCATAGCACTGCACTGCTGGAGGCACCGTACAACACTCAGCTACCCGACTACTTGACTGCAATTGGTAATCTAAGGCATTTTGGAATTGTTAAGAGATTTGCTTTCAGGGAAAATATTGACAAGTAGGATTGCTGGATTGCACCTGTAGTTTTTTTGGATGTTGCCAAATTCTTCTCTGTTCCAGGTGGATGATGTGCCCCAATAATTCCTGCTTCCTGAGATTTATACCTTTGTGTGGTCCTCTCACATCAGAGCAGGGTTGGTCTCTATGACCAGCAGAGTATGACAGAAGTGATGGTGAAGTACTTCCAAAATTAGCTTTAAAATACCATGCACAGGCAGGGCACAGCGGCTCATGCCTATAACCCCAGCTCTTTGGAAGGCCAAGGCAGGCGGATCACTTGAGGTCAGGAGTACAGCCTGGCCAACATGGTGGATCACTTGAGGTCAGGAGATCAGCCTGGCCAACATGGTGAAACCCTGTCTCTACTAATAATACAAAAATTAGCCAGGCATGGTGTCACACGCCTGTAATCTGAGTTACTTGTGTGGATGAGGCAGGAGAATCGCTTGAACCCAGGAGGCGGAGGTTGTAGTGAGCCAAGGTAGCGCCACTGCACTCCAGCCTGGGTAACAAAGTGAAACTCCATCTCAAAAAACATAGATAGGCTGGGCGCGGTGGCTGAAGCCTGTAATCCCAGCACTTTGGGAGGCCGAGACAGGCGGATCACGAGGTCAGGAGATCGAGACCATCCTGGCTAACACGGTGAAACCCCGTCTCTACTAAAATACAAAAAAAATAGCCGGCATCGGTGGCAGGGGCGAACTGCTAGTCTCCAGCTTACTTGGAGGCTGAGGCAGGAGAAATGCGTGAACCTGGGAGGCCAGAGTTGCAATAGACGGAATCCGGCCACCTGCACCCAGCCCTGGTGACACAGCAAGACTCTGTCTCAACAAAAAAAAAAAAAAAAAAAAATTTTTACATATTTTGTGCATCAAAGGACAATCATGAGGAGTGAAAAGAAAATATCCATAAGAATGGGAGGAAAATTTGCAAACGTTGTTGAATTAAGGATTAATATTCAGTTTACTAAGAACTCCTATAACTCAAGAATAACAACAAAACCAATTTAATTCATAAAAGGACTTGTAATAAAGACGATAACAGATGGCCAATAAGAACATGAAAAGATGGTCTACATAACTCAATATTAGGAAAATGAAAACAAAAGCCGCAGTGAGATCACGTTACCCTGGCGGTGATGGCTCTTGGCCATCAAATAGGAGGTAAGTGTTGGTTGGATGTGGTAAAGCTGGAACCTTGTGCACCTGCTCATGGGAATGCAAAATGGTGCAGCAGCTCTGGAAAACAGAACGGTGGTTGCTCAAAACATCAGACAGAATTATCATGTGACCCGGCCGTTCCACTTTTGCATATATATCCCAAAGTGCTGAGAATAAGGATCCAGGATATTTTTGCACACGATGGTCATAGCAGCATTATTCACAATAGCCTGCTGGTGCTAAACTTAATACATTCAGTTACTTAAAACATAGCCGCGCGGTGGCTCACGCCTGTAATCCCAGCAGTTTGAGAGGTCGAGGCAGGAGGATCACGAGGTCAAGAGATCGAGACCATCCTGGCTAACATGGAGAAACCCCATCTCTACTAAAAATACAAAAATTAGCTGGGCTTGGTGGCATGTGCCTGTAATCCCAGCTACTCTGGGGGCTGAGGCAGGAGAATCACTTGAACCCGGGAGGCGGAGGTTGCAGTGAGCCAAGACTGTGCCCCTGCACTACAGCCTGGACGACAAAGCAAGACTCACATCTCAAAAAAACCAAAACCAAAACCAAACCAAAACAAAAATATATCCCAAGGTCAGGCGCGGTTGCCATGGTGGCTCACATCTGTAATCCCAGCACTCTGGGAGGCCGAGGCGGGTGGATCACCTGAGGTCAGAAGTTCGAGACCAGCCTGGCCAACATGGTGAAACCCCGTCTCTACTAAAAATTACAAGGTGGGCACCTGTAATCCCAGCTACTTGGGAGGCTGAGGCAGGAGAATAGTTGGAACCTGGGAGGCGGAGGTTGCAGTGAGCCAAGATCGCGCCACTGCACTCCAGCCTGGATGACAGAGTGAGACTCCGTCTCAACATTAATAAATCAATAATACATAAAACACATCCCAAACACGCATAGTGTTGAACCATGTAGCAAGTGTTTGCTTTGTATACTTCGTGAAATCTGGTAGCCATAGATAAGATAAATCCTGGGGTTATAAAGACTGCAAGCCCTTGCTGCCCTTCAGAGCTTTGTGACTCAGACACCTGTCAGGCTGCTGAGAAACGGGATCTAGTCATGTGAGCCCTCCCCCTGTCTGATCCCCTTCTTCTCTGGGAGTTCTCTGCGCCCTCCCACCCCGCCCATTTTCTTCTCTTTTCTGAATAGTGAACCCCAATTCGAAGCCTGTGGATAATCTCACGGTGCGTGACTCCCCACCCCCAACCTGTCAAAGCTTGTGCGCCACTGCCACCTCCTGGGCACATCTTGTTTCTTAATCAGCCAGGAAATCACATGAACTCCTCACATGTGGTTTTGTTTTTCACATTTAGATTCCTGATCCGTTTGGAGTTTACCCCTGTGAGGTCCAGAATGAATTTCATCATTTCTCAGATGGCTAACCATTTGTCTTAGTACCTTTCATTATAAACCGCATATTCGTTCCACTGCTCTGAAATTATGTTTATGCACCGAATTTCCATGTTACTGGGTTGATGTCTGGATATTCCATTTGTGTTTCCTGTTCATGTGTCAGTAGCACACAGTTTTAATGACAGAGGCTGTTTTCATATCTGTCGGGCATTGTGCTTTGTCCACGTCATCTTCGTTATGAGACGTTTGTTCCTCCATGTCAACTCCAGGATCAATATACCTGGCTCCAAAAAAAACAACCTTTTCGTATTGTTACTGGAATCATGTGACATTTCTGAATGAACCTTGGGAGAACTCCTGGTATCAGTCTATTTTGCAACGTAGTATAGGTAGGTGCTCCTGGCCCCTACGGTACATGAGAAAAACAACAGAAACGCGTATTTGAAGGGAAAAATATGAACATATACAGAAAAAAAAATACTACATTGAAAATGCAATGGAATCAACTGTTAAGAGTTCGGCGTGATGTTCAGACGGATAGAAAGGAACGGGGCCGGTGACTCCCTGCAGAGATCGAGAGGAGACCGCGCGCACTCGGCACCCGAGGGCTTCTCGCTGTGGCCGAATCCCGGCCGCGCTCGCGACGAGCACTTCCTGGCTGTACCCGCCCAACCTCGCCCTCCTGGTCTGTTCCGGCCCCGCAGTCGCGTCCAGAGACCTGATCCTTACGTCCGCCTGGTCCTCCGGCACTATCTCTGCCTCCAGCCCGGTTCCCGAGGGCGCCACGGGGCCCTCCCACACGCTCGCGGAAGACACTTCAACCTCTCCGCGCCATAGGCCAAGTTCGGCCCGGGCGCTGGAGGCGGAAGTGACGCCAGAGACGCGCCGCCACCTCTTCCGGCGCCGGCTCCGCCCCCTCCTGTGCGACGGCTGCGCCCGTTCTCGGGGCAGACCGTCCCGGCGCCGCAGAGCTTCGCACGTGTCCCGGGGCCGTCCGCGGGGGACCTGGCCCGGGAGTGGTCGCCCGCCCGCCCCGCGCCCCCGGCACCGCTTCTAGAAAGGAAAGTCGCCGCCGCTCGCGGTGGACCCGGGCCGCGCCTCCAGTCCGCGGAGCTGGTGAGAGAGGGGCCTTCTGCTTCCTTCACTTTGCTGAGGGCGTGTTTCTGTGAGAATCTGGCTTCGGCTTTGACGTTTTTTGTGTTTCTGGCACTTTGTGTTGGGACCGAAGCGTAAGGTAGACCCCTGAGCGCCCGGGGCGTGCCGCTCCCGGAGAAGGTTACCCTGTGGGGACCAGCGGGACTTCAGGCCCGGCCCCCGGGGAGGAGGGATGCGGCCGTCATCCCGCACGGCCTGGAGTCATCGAATCCGCGGTGAACAGCGTGTTTCGACTATTTTTTCTCACGTTTTGCTTTAAAAAAATCTGAATCTAATAAAAATGTGAACATCTACTACAAGGAATATCCACTGCAGTCGTTTTCCTCCTTTTTAGTACTAGGCCATGTTTTCTCTCTCCCCCAATAAATAAACTATTATTTGAGTATAACTAAGTTGAAAATAAACTGCACACGTGATACTTAACTTTTAAATACTTGGTAAAGCGTCTCAAAGATAAGGACATTGTCCTACTGAAACCACAATATTAGTACTTCACCTAAGAAAGTTAAAAATAGGCCGGGCGCGGTGGCTCACGCCTGTAATCCCAGCACTTTGGGAGGCGGGCAGATCACGAGGTCAGGAGATCGAGACCATCCTGGCTAACACGGTGAAACTCCCTCTCTACTAAAAATGCAAAAAACTAGCCGGGCGAGGTGGCGGGCGCCTGTAGTCCCAGCTACTCGGGAGGCTGAGGCCGGAGAATGGCGTGAACCCGGGGGGCGGAGCTTGCAGTGAGCTGAGATCATGCCACTCACTCCAGCCTGGGCGGCAGAGCGAGACTCCGTCTCAAAAAAAATAATAATTAAAAATAATAAGGTCTGCTGGGCGCAATGGCTCAGGCTTGTAATCTCAGCACTCTGGGAGGCCGAGGCGGGTGGATCATCTGTGGTCGGGAGTTCAAGACCAGGCTGACTAACATGGAGAAACCCCGTCTCTACTAAAAGTACAAAATTAGCCCGGCGTGGTGGTGCATGCCTGTAATCCCAGCTAGTCTGGAGGCTGAGACAGGAGAATCGCTTGAACCGGGGTGGCAGAGGTTGCGATGAGCCGAGATCGTGCCATTGCAGTCCAGCCTGGGCAACAAGCGCGAAACTCCGTCTCAAGAAATAAAATAATAATAGTAACAATAAGGCCATCCACTGTCTACTTTGTGGGACATCTAGAATTGTCAGCCTTGTTCCAGCACTGCACTGTTGGGTATTTTGGGGACTAAGAGCCATTCAAGGTTTTTTTTTTTTTTTTTGAGATGGAATCTCGCTCTGTCTCCCAGGCTGGAGTGCAGTGACCGGATCTCGGCTCACTGGAAGCTCCCCCTCCTGGGTTTACGCCATTCTCCTGCCTCAACCTGCCTAGTAGCTGGGGCTACAGGCGTCCGCCACCTCACCCAGATAGTTTTTTGTATTTTTTAGTAGTGACAGGGTTTCACCGTGTTAGCCAGGATGGCCTCGATCTCCTGACCTCGTGATCCGCCCGTCTCAGCCTCTCAAAGTGCTGGGATTACAGGCTTGAGCCACCACACCCGGCCGCCATTCAAGGTTTATACGTTCCCATCATTTATGTCTTTTCATCTAGAACAACCCCTATCGTTTCTCTAGTACCTTATGCCTTTGGGTCCACGAGGTCTCAGATGGCTGAGTTCAGCCTTAGTCACCTCATGTCCCATGTTAGCTGTTGCTTCTCTGTGCTGATTCCAAGCCCCAGCCTATTTCTCAAAAGGTCAAGGGTCAGCTGCATAGATGACTGTTGAGAGGGTGTAGATTTACTCTAAAATCCCAGAGGGCTCTGAGTCTTATCAGTGCTTGCCAGAGGCATCCAACGGCATCCTGTTTACCATGGACACCGTGTCATTGGGTCTGCTGGGTCATTTCCACCAAGTGCTTCAGAAGCTTGTCCTGCACCCTGAATGTGCAAGGATCCACACTTGGCACTGGCAGCCTTATAGGCAACTGTGTAGAGCATTAAAGCTGTTATATATGTTGTTCCTAAAATTAAAAGATCTGCAGAGTGTTGGGCCTCTTTTTTGGTTGTAGGTGTTATGAGGTGCAGTAACTTGGAGGTGAATATTGGAGGGGATGTCTTTATGTAATCCAGGCTACTGAACTGACAGAAACTATGGCCCCTGAATCACAAGCCCTCTGTAGTGTATATTTCATATGACGGTATCTAAAACGTGTTTATTTCCTGTTCACTGTGTCCAACCACCCTAATGTCAGCATGGTGTATGAGTGCAGTCTGAGGGTCAGGTCCTCTGGGGATGATGTTAAGGCAGAGAACTGAATATTACATCCCTTTTTGAAGCATGGAAAAGAACCTGTGCAGGTGACACCGAACTCAACACATTTGTGGGTCTTTTAGCCCAAAGACCCTGCACACCCCCTCTACCCTCCAGTTCCAGACACCTAGTAGTAAGTACAGTTTATACAAGGAGAATGGACATGTTTTTCTGATATGTGAAACTTTACTGTTTTAGTCACCTCATCAGTAGAGTAAGAAAGTACAGCTCTAGATCTACCTTTGTCCTGCTGGGGAGTGACCACAGACTCAGGAGTACAAACTGATGAGACCAGGGTGGGGTGCGGTGGCTCACACCTGTAATCCCAGCACTTTGGGAGGCCGAGGTGGGCAGATCACGAGGTCAGGAGATCAAGACCATCCTGGCTGACATGGTGAAACCCCACCTCTACTAAAAATACAAAAACTTACCCAGGCGTGGTGGCACGTGCCTGTAGTCCTAGCTACTTGGGAGGCTGAGGCAGGAGAACTGCTTGAACCCGGGAGGTGGAGGTTGCAGTGAGCCGAGATCGCACCATTGCACTCCAGCTTGAGTGACAGTGAGACTCTGTCTCAAAAAAAAAAACCAAAAAAACTGACGAGGTGGTTGAACCTGTACCAGCTAACTGTCGTGGTTCACCACTTCCTGAGTGGATGATGTGGGACCAGTTCGTTATCTAAATCCAGGCTGTTTTAGGTAGAAACACAGGTGAAATCTGTGAATGGCTGTTCTGAGAATGAAATAAGGCTTCTGCTGTCTTCTGACCCATATACTGCTCTTCAGTAGGTGACGTGGATATTACTAATCCTCAACAGAGTATACTGGGTATAGTGGCTTTCACATGTGTCATCTGCAGAAACAAGCTAATGCATGAGGTTTGATAACTGGGAAGTAATGCTTCTTCGTTGTGGTTGCTAGGAAATAGGGATCCAGCCATCCCTGGGTCAGGAGGGATAGAGACTGCACCATCCACACAGATTCACAGGCCGTCCTGTAGTGGCCTTGGCTTCAGGAAAGGAGCATTCAGACGCTTCCGTCAGCCTCCCAGGATGGCAGCCCCTGACCTAGCCCGCGGTAAGTCCTGGTGGGGCTCCTCCTCACAGCCTCTGCTGTAGGTGCTGATACACAGTGTGAGTCCCATGGACGGGGCCTGAGTAGTCCCGCTCCGGGTTCCTATTGGAGCTGCTGGAGTGAGCCAGAGAACGCTGGCCTGTAAGTCAGCCCCAGTGTGTGTGCTTTGGGGAGGGATGATTCGTAAACCCCATGAGTTTTCTCACCAAGGGCAAATGAAGAGTCACGTTTCTCAGGGCTTACAGTTCCGTATCTGCAATAGGAGCCTGTTACCATTTCCTGGTGGGCAGCATAGCTCACAAACCTTTTGTGTCGCCAGTTGAGACAGACTACCCTGGCACTGTATGGCTCTGTGTGTGTGTGTTTTCCTGAGGCATTGTATGGCTCTGTGTGTGTGTGTGTATGTGTGTGTGTGTGTTTTCCTGAGGCACTGTATATCTGTGTGTGTGTGTGTTTTCCTGAGTGTGCAGGAGTATGTGGGAATTTCCTGGCACTGTATGGCTGTGTGTGTGTGTGTGTGTGTGTGTGTGTGTGTTTTCCCGAATGTGCAGCAGTACACGGGAATTTCCCGCTAGGATGGAATGACTTCCAGGTCCGTGAGCATGGCATTAGGGTCAGCTCTGGGTTCTCATGCTTTCTTGCCTTCTTTGTTTTTTAGGAGGTCATGTTTCTAGGGACTCAATCTGCCTTCATGAAGAACAGACACAGGCAGCAGGGATGGTGGCTGGCTGGCTGATAAATTGTTATCAGGTATGCCAAAACTGTATTTTTCTAAAAATAACATACTGGTATTCAGCAGACAGATAGGTTTCTGTCTGAGCAGATTTATCTCCACAGCCTCACCCTAGGACCGAGTCCCTAGTTGAGCCCCGGGGAGGAGAGCCTGGCCGGTCAGGTGTGACTGAAAATCCTCCCGTAATTCAGTGTTACTTTTTTCTTTTTCTTTTTTTTTTTTTTTTTTGAGATGGAGTCTCGTTTTGTTGCCCAGGTATCTCGGCTCACTGCAATCTCCGCCTTCCAGGTTCAAGCAGTTCTCCTACCTCAACCTCCCAAGTAGCTGGGATTACAAGTGCCTGCCACCACGCCCGGCTAATTTTTGTATTTTTAGTAGAGATGGAGTTTTGCCATGTTGACCAGGCTGGTCTTGAACTCCTGATCTCAGGTGGTCCACCTGCCTTGGCCTCCCAAAGTGCTGGGATTACAGGCTTGTGCCACTGTGCCTAGCCTCAGCATTACTCATTATTTTGACCCTTGTGCCAAATGCATGCTGCTTTTTTTGCTGAGTGCTCTGACACATGGTAAGGAAGGGGAAAGTGTCCTTTCTGGGAACTTATTTCCACATCACGAGTTATCACTTGTTTGTAATGTGCTCAGGAGAGGGACGTAAGGCGAGAGGAGCGTGAGTGGGTGAGAGAAGTTCACATATGGGAGGTGCCGTTCCGGCCGTATGACTAGAGGAGATCGACAGTGTGTGTGTGTGGGCAGAGAAGGGTTCCCAGGACCGCTGGGCCGTGGGGTAGACAGTAGGAGACCTCACAGTCCCATGTAGGCGTAGGGCCCGTTTCCTCATTCTCCAGTGAACACTGATGGACACGTTGAGTGGCTTCAACCACCATGTGTGATGATTTAGGACTCAGTGACCTTTGACGACGTGGCTGTGGACTTCACCCAGGAGGAATGGACTTTACTGGACCCGTCTCAGAGAGACCTCTACAGAGACGTGATGCTGGAAAACTACGAGAACCTGGCCTCCGTAGGTGAGGCTGCCACCGTTCTTTGCAACTTCTGTGGAGCTGATACATGATACGTCCTTACTGTGTTCCAGGATTGTTGACGGCAAAGCCGAGTACCGTGGGAAGTAACAGATATAATGGGCTTGATGCTAGCGTGGTCGTTTCCAGAATGTGGTCCTGGGGTCAGTAGCATCACCATCATTCATCTAGAAACGTGCATTCTCAGGCCGCACCTGTGACACGTTGGATCAGAATGTCTGCTGGGGGGGAGCCTGTCATCTCTGCTTTAACAAGCCCTCCCCGTGAACCCGACTCACTCTTAACGCTGAGAACCACTGGGTAGTAGTTTCCCAAGTGAATGAAGATCTCTTTTTGCACTTCTGTTATTTCCTGTTTGAATAGAAGTCTTAGTGGTTTTTACATGTATATTTAAGCCTGAATGTGGACTTCAGGGATCAGAGATAAACCAGTTTCTTTGGGGCACAGAAAGATGGAGTACTTGCACTTTGAGCTCCTTCGAAACAATTTCACTGCACTCTTTAGAAATGTAGTTCCTGGCACGCCACTGCACTCCAGCCTGGGTGACAGAGCGAGACTCCATCTCAAAAACATAAAATAAAATAATGTGGTTCCTGGCCGGGTGCAATGGCTCACGCCTGTAATCCCAGTACTTTGGGAGGCTGGACGCGGTGACTCAAACGCCTGTAATCCCAGCACTTTGGGAGGCCGAACGCGGTGGCTCAGGGCTGTGATCCCAGCACTCTGGGAGGCCACGCATGGTGCAAGTGCTGTGATCCTAGCACTCTGGGAGGCCGGGCGCAGTGGCTCAGGGCTGTGATCCCAACACTCTGGGAGGCCGGGTGCAGTGGCTCAGGGCTGTGATTCCAGCACTCTGGGAGGCTGGGCGTGGTGCCTCAGGGCTATCATTCCAGCACTCTGGGAGACTGGTCACGGTGGCTCAGGGCTGTGATCCCAGCACTCTGGCAGGCCGGGGCGGGAGGATCACGAACGAGGTCAGGAGATTGAGACCATCCTGACTAACACGGTGAATCCCTATCTTCTTTACTAAAAATACAAAAAATTAGCTGGGCGTGGTGGTGGGCGCCTGTAGTCCCAGCTACTCGGGAGGCTGAGGCAGGAGAATCGCTTGAACCCAGGAGGCGGAGCTTTCTGTGAGCTGAGATTGTGCCACTGCACTCCAGCCTGGGGGACAGAGCGAGACTCCGTCTCAAAAAAAAAAAAAACGAAAACAAAAAAAACAAGGAAATGCAGTTCCTGTTTCATGGGTAGGTTTGTCATCCCCTGCCTGAGCCTCTTCCATTGATGTCTCTTTCCCTGTGTACAGGACATGACCTGTTCAAACCCAGTGTGATCTGTTGGCTGGAAGAGGAGTTGAGGGCAGAGCAGAGAGGAGTTCTCCAAGGTGAGTGAGTGTGAAGAGCACCCCTGGTCGATGTCAAGTTTAGCAGCTGCGGGAGGATCCTGAGTGTCGAGTTTGGTGGCTGTGGGAGGATCGTGAGTGTACGTTTTAAGATGCATTCTGGCACAGAACATGAGGCCATTGGACTCAAAGTTCTGGGGAGAGAGAGCAAGACTCTCTCTCTGTCTCGCAAAAAAAAAAAAAAAAACAAAAAGAAAGAAAACTCTGCTCTTTTGTTCTTTGAGATTGTGGTTTTTTTGTTTTGTTTTGTTTTGTTTGAGATGGAGTCTTGCTGTGTTGCCCAGGCTGGAGTGTAGTGGCACAATTTCGGCTCACTGCAAACTCCGCCTCCTGGGTTCATGCGATTCTTCTGCCTCACCTTCCGAGTAGCTGGGATTACAGGCGTGTGCCACCACACCCGGCTAATTTTTTTGCTTGTTTGTTTTGTATTTTGTTGTTGTTTTTTTTTTGAGACGGAGTCCAGGCTGGAGTGCAGTGGCCAGATCTCAGCTCACTGCAAGCTCCGCCTCCCAGGTTCATGCCATTCTCCTGCCTCAGCCTCCCAAGTAGCTGAGACTACAGGCGCCCGCCACCTCTCCCGGCTAGTTTTTTGTATTTTTTAGTAGAGACGGGCTTTCACCATGTTAGCCAGGATGGTCTCAATCTCCTGACCTCATGATCCGCCTGTCTCGGCCTCCCAAAGTGCTGGGATTACAGGCTTGAGCCACTGCGCCCAGCCTGATTTTTGTATTTTTGGTAGTGACAAGGTTTCGCCATGTTGGTCAGGCTGGTCTCGAACTCCTGACCTCGTGATCCACCCACCTTGGCCTCCCAAAGTGTTGGGATTACAGGCGTGAGCCATCACGCCCAGCCGAGTTTGTTTTTTTAATGTATGCTCTTTGTCCAGATCTTTCCTGCTTTCTTTCATTGATAATACTGTTTCTGTTCACCATCACATTTGTTTTTTATGGACCAAATTTACTTTTAAATCTTCTAAATTATGACTCCCAGTTCTTGTGATTCCAAATTTTACACATAGCCAAACTCCTCCAATCTATCTTTGCTTTATTTTTTTTGCCATGTCTTATATGAAAACGAATAACAATGAGTTTGATCATTTTCAGGTCTTTTTTTTTTTTCTTTTCAGAATGGCGACTTAAAACCAAAGGGCCAGCACTTCGGCAGGATAGATCTTGGTTGAGAACATCAAATGAGACACAAACGGTAAAATTAACAAGAGAGATTTTTTTTATTTATCACACTCATAAAACATTGGGAATTCCACTATAGAAAATGAGCAAAATTGAGAGAATGTAGAGAAGCAGGATTCACTCAGGTGGGGACTGTCTGTGGAGAACACTCTGAATGTGTGGAATTTGGGAGGGCCTCATCCTGTCTGGAAACTTGGTGCTTCAGACACACGTCAGCACACGTGACAAGGCATTGAGATTGCAGAGCTGTTTCGTGAGCACACACTTTTCAAAGTTAGAGCAGATGGCACAGGATTCCTTTTTTTTTTGAGATGAAGTCTCACTCTGTCGCCAGGCTGGAGTGCAATGGCATGATCTCGGCTCGCTGCAAGCTCCACCTCCCCGGTTCAAGCGATTCTTCTGACTCAGCCTCCCGAGTAGGTGGAACGGAACTAGAGGCGTGTGCCACCACGCCCACCTAATTTTTGTATTTTTAGTAGAGATGGGGTTTGACCATTTTGGCCAGGATGGTCTCGATCTCTTGACCTTGTGATCCTCCCACCTCAACCTCCCAAAGTGATGGGATTACAGGCGTGAGCCACTGCTCCTGGCCGATTCTTTCTTTTTTGAGATGGAGTTTTGCTCTTGTTGCCCAGGCTGGAGTGCAGTGGTGCGATCTCAGCTTGCTGCAACCTCTGCCTCCCTGGTTCAAGCCTTTCTCCTGCCTAAGCCTCCTGAGTAGCTGGGATTACAGGCGTGTGCCACCACGCCCGGTTAATTTTGTATTTTTAATAGAGACAGGGTTTCTCCACGTTGGTCAGGCTGGTCTTGAACCTCCTGACCTCAGGTGATCCACCCGCCTCAGCCTCCCAAAGTGCTGGGATTACAGGCGTGAGCTACCGCGCCCGTCCTGATGGCACAGGATTCTTGCAGGTGCGCTCCTCATTTGACTTGAAAGACATCTACAGGGCAGGAGCTGCATGCGTGTTATGAAAATGGCAAAAATCGTAATTGTCATCGTCATACTCTGTCTTCAGCTGGGTGAGATCTATGAATAAGCCTCAGCAATCCCCTGACTGCCACTCATTCTCCACCAGCAGGCAAGAAGCCACAATGGAGGGCAGCTCTGTGACCGCACGCAGTGTGGAGAAGCTGTCAGTGAACACTCAGGCCTCAGCACACACGTGAGAACTCAAAATACAGGAGACAGTTGTGTGTCTAATCATTATGAAAAAGACTTTTTTATTCCATGCCAGAAAACTTGGTTCAAAATTGGAGAGCAGTTTTCTGTGTTGGATCAGTGTGGAAAAGCCTTTAGCCCTACTCCAAATGTTGTTTACCAACAAACATGCACTCGGGACAAACCTCTTGACTGCAGTGACTGTGGGGAAGCAGTCCTTAATCAGTCATACCTTCAGGCACGTGTGGGAACTCACAGTGGAGAAGGAACATGGAACTGGAAGCAGTGTGGGAAGGCTCTCACTCACTCCACAGGCTGTGCCACGCCTGTTGAAATGCATGCTGTCAGGAACCCCCACATATGTAGGGAATGTGGGAAGGCCTTTAGACACACTGCCTACCTTACTAGTCACATGCGAGTCCACACTGGGGAGAAGCCCTGTGAGTTGGAAGAATGTGGAAAAGTCTCCCCTCTTGCTTCCGGCCTAACTACACTTGTAAGAATTGATGCTGCAGAGAAGCCCTGTGAATGTAACGAATGTGGAAAAACCTTCACTGGATGCTCAGGTCTTTCTAAACACGTCCAAACATGCCCTGGAAAGCAGCTCTCTGAATGGAGGGACTGTGGGAAAGCCTGCAGTGGGTTTTATCTACTGAATGAACATGTGAAAACTCGCATGAGGGAGAAGCCTTTTGCATGTATGGTTTGCGGAAAATATTTTAGAAATTCCTCCTGCCTTAATAATCATGTTCGAATTCACACTGGAATAAAACCCTATACATGTAGCTACTGTGGGAAGGCCTTCACCGTGCGCTGTGGCCTTACTAGACACGTACGAACACACACGGGCGAGAAGCCATACACGTGTAAGGACTGTGGGAAAGCTTTCTGTACGTCTTCAGGCCTTACCGAGCACGTAAGGACTCACACTGGAGAGAAACCCTATGAATGTAAAGATTGTGGGAAATCCTTCACTGTTTCTTCAAGCCTGACTGAACATGCGAGAATCCATACTGGAGAGAAACCCTACGAATGTAAGCAATGTGGCAAAGCCTTCACGGGGCGCTCAGGGCTCACTAAACACACGCGGACACACACCGGGGAGAAGCCCTATGAATGTAAGGACTGCGGGAAAGCCTACAATAGGGTTTATCTACTAAATGAACATGTGAAAACTCACACAGAGGAGAAGCCTTTTATATGTATGATATGCGGGAAATCCTTCAGAAATTCCTCATGCCTGAATAAGCACATTCAGATTCACACTGGAATAAAACCTTATGAATGTAAGGACTGTGGGAAAACGTTCACTGTTTCTTCGAGCCTAACTGAGCACATACGAACTCACACTGGAGAGAAGCCTTATGAATGTAGAGTATGCGGAAAGGCCTTCACCACGTCCTCACACCTTGTCGTGCACATAAGAACCCACACTGGAGAGAAACCCTACATATGTAAGGAGTGTGGGAAAGCCTTTGCTTCCTCCTCACACCTTATCGAACACAGACGGACTCACACAGGAGAGAAACCTTATGTATGTAACGAGTGTGGAAAAGCCTTCCGTGCCTCCTCTCACCTGCGTAAACATGGAAGAATCCACACTGGGCAGAAACCCTATAAATGCAAGGAATGCGGGAAAGCATACAGTAGGTTTTATCTACTAAAAGAACATTTAAAAACTTACACTGAAGAGCAGCTTTTTGTATGTAAGGACTGTGGAAAATCTTTTAAAAATTCCTCATGCCTTAACCATCACACTCAAATTCACACTGATGAGAAACCTTACTAATGTGAGGAATGTGGGGAAGCCGTCAGCTACACTCATTCACGTGGAAGACATGAAAGACCTCTCGCTCTCCAGATGCCCATCACTTGAGGAGTGTGGCCATCAGCATCGCATCACAACCCGGCAGGCAGGAACTCAGCCTGGAGCCCTACAGCAGCAGACGCAGAGAAAGCCCTCACTGTGCTCTCGGGTCTTGCTAAATATGGAAGGTATCCAGTGGAGAGAACCTTATTGACATGTGATATGTAGCAGCGTTGTTGCTGTTCTGCTCGGTACTTTGATGATCCCTCGTGATCTCACAGTGGAGAAAAACCTTAGGAGGGTGAGAATTGTTGGGAAGTCATTCTTTACATGACATCCATCCTCAATCTTTAGTAAACGAGGGATTGACACTTGAAGTGTTATGAATGTACAGAAGATAGGAATTACTTCCCCGTGTCCTAAAACCTTGTGGGCTAACAGAGACACGTCTTTCTGGGGGTTCTGTAGACGTATTTTGAACCTGTATGATGCTGCACTGATTATTCTTGAAGTGAGGACTGTTCCCTGTAGAAGTTCTCCAGTCTGATTGCTATACTGTCCGAGTCGCAGCCTGGCTAAGAGTGGCACTGGAGGACTCAGATGTGATCCTGTGTGAGCAGCATAGGCTGTGGTTGGATTAGTCTTTGAGGACTCAAATGTGATCCTGTGGTGCGCAGGTAGGCTGTGGGCTCTGTTTAGTCCTTATGAGACATCAGGTCGGAACTCTGTGTGGACACCGTAGCCCTGTGTTGGTTAGTCTTGAGGATCAGATGATGAATCGATTGAGCAGATAGTTCTGGTCTTGGTTAGTCCTGGAGGGACTCGGATTGTGTCCTGTATCTGTGAGCAGTGTGGCTGTATCCTGTCTAGTACTTGAGGACTCGAATGTGATCTGATGGGAGACAGCGTAGGATAGTGGTTGTTAGTACTTGAGAACTCAGATTGAATCCTGAGTTGACCAGTGTAGGCCTGTGGTTTGGGTTAGTCTTTGCGACTCCAGATGTGATCTGTGTGAAACCGCTGTAAGGCCTCTGTTGGTTGTCTTGAGAAACTCAATGATCAACACCATCTAGTGTAGCAGTGACGCCTCTGTGTTTAGTCCCTTTGCTCTTAGATACCCAACATGTATAATATCCCACACTGGCCAAGGTGGGGCATAACACAGGTCTGCATTTTATGAAAATGCCCTTGTTCCTCTCCCATACCTGATCCCTTCAGATAAAACAAAAGGGGGCAAGGAGGGGCAGAGTGGAGAGGGGCGAGGTCATTGCTGTGAGATGCCCCCGTTTCATGGCCGTGGAGGGAGAGCCACCCCTGCACACGTGGGGAGGAGGGAATTCCTGTACCTCAGACAGTGCCGGATGGGTGAGAGCCCTGAGTATCCCTGTTGACCTCCAGATCCTCTTCACAGCATGCAGAGCAGTCCTGGCAGCTGCTGCAGTCCGGCAGTTCTGGGGCAGGAGCCGCTTGTGTGTGCTGCCCCTTTGTGTACCATGAAAACAGACCAGGGACGTGGCTGGTCCTGATGTTCCACGGCGCTTGGCACTGTCACTGGCGCTTCCTGGATGAGGCCCTTAAACACACCCAGCAGCAGAGCGAGGCCTCCGTGTCCGTGACACGAACGTGTGTCCTCTGGCTGCAGCAATCTTGGGTTAGGTTTTTTGTGGCCATCGGGGGCAGCAGCTGCTTGGTGACTGTTTCTGTGGTGTTGAACCTCCACGGTATAAAGGTAATCTACAGCGAGGTGAACAGTAAGTCCTGGACGGACAGACCCGTGCACCTTCATGTTACGTGTTTGAAATCCTGGATGGACAGACCCGTGCACTTTCACGTTACGTGTTTGAAATCCTGGATGGACAGACCCGTGCACCTTCATGTTACGTGTTTGAAATCCTGGATGGACAGACCCGTGCACTTTCATGTTACGTGTTTGAAATCCTGGATGGACAGACCCGTGCACCTTCATGTTACGTGTTTGAAATCCTGGATGGACAGACCCGTGCACCTTCATGTTATTACGTGTTTGAAATCCTGGATGGACAGACCCGGGCACCTTCATGTTATGTGTTTGTTGTGGAGAGGAGTGGGTCATGCAATGTTTCTCTTGTGGGATTGAGTGTGACTATTTAGCTCATCTCTTGGCACCTTTCCTTATTGGCAGTGACACTAAAGGTCATCAGATTAGTGTGAACCACCCTGTGGGGTTGTAGTGGCTCCTGGACTGGTCTCAGATACCATCCGGGTTGGCGGAAATAAGTCCTGCGGGTCTCCACTGGAACTGACTCCCAGTGTCTGAGTCCGGAACGTGCAGGTCACAGGTGATGCCACATCTGCATCACCCTGGTGCTCGGACCCCGAGTGGCGGCACCCTGAGCAGGCGGTAGCCCGGACACTACCCTGCCTGATACGCCCCCGGTGGTGGAGACATCACCCCAGCCTAGACCTCGTTAAGATGACTCCCCTCCCTTCACTGGAGGTGACTTTACACTTCTCCAGAACCGCCTCAGCAGCGATGCCCATGGACCGGTGTTCCTAAGGCGCAAATTCGGTATTCGAGATTCTGTGATGAGCTGAGCTTGCTGTCCGCTAACCCGCAATCCTGGTGTAATCTCAGTCAGAACCTACAGCCCTGCACCTCTTGCCTGTAAGAAAATCTGTTAGGAGTTAGTAGTGTCTGTGAAGTCTTGATAATTGATAACAAATTTTTTTGTTTCACCAGGAGGCACCTGCCTCCTATCAGCCTCTGGGGAGGCCACCGTCTGCCCAGTGCCTTCTCCTCCCCTGTAGCTTTCCGTCTCGTCTCCTTACTCCCTTGACTTGGCTTCACACAGAGCCTCTTCTTTACACATTCTAACTGTTCACTTCGTACCCTCCTGCAGCAGAACTACAGACCTGCCACCCTGATCATTGTCAAACTCATCCCTTCATCAGCTTTATAACTCCTCAAGGATTTTATCACTGGACCCCCAACATTTCGAAGTGATTTTCTTGAGTAATACCATATGCTGTGATGTGGATGGGATTGGCTTGTCCTCACCAAGTCTCATGTTGAGCTTTGACTCTCAGTGTGGCAGTGCTGGGAGGGGGCCTGGTGGGGGTTTGGGTCATGGAGGCACCCTCCTGAATGGTTGGATACCATTCATTCTTGCTCTCTGAAGCCTGGATTGGTTCGTAGGGGAATGCATTAGTTACCAGGAGCATGGTGGTGATAAAGCCACGCTGTCCCTCAGGTTTGGCTCACTGCCCCTGACCTTCTCTGCCCTGTTTGACACAGCAGATAGTACTCACCAGAAGCAGATTGGATGCCAGTGCCATGCTTGTACAGCCTGCAGAACCATGAGCCAAATAAGCCTCTTTCTAAGTTACCCAGCATCAGATACATAGCAACGCAGACAGACTAAGACACCACGCATGATGGAAAACTGGGTTATGGGCAGGACTGCAAGTACTGCTTGTGCAGATACCTGTATTTCTCCTCCTGACTCCCAGAACGTGTTCTATGCCACTTAGGGCAACTTATGCTCTCCTGTGTGACAATCTCCACTCCTGATGTCTGAGGGTTCCTCAGTGTAAGGTAACATTAAAGGACCAATTGTATTGTGTTCTATTTTTTTTTTATTAGGATATATTTTCATCCTGGGGTCTTCCTGTGGGGGCTAGACCGAGCCTCCCAGGGCTAGATCATTTCTAAAGATGGTAAACAACTTGCTGGGAACACCAGTGCATATGCAACTCAACTCACTGCATGTGCAAATTGACACTGCATATGCAAATCGACACTGCATATACAACTCAAGTCACACTGCATATGCAACGTAACTTGCACTGCATATGCAAATCAACCGTTGCAAGTACTTATTTCCAGCCACTTCCTTTTTCTAACTACCACACCAAGCCAATATTTCTCCTCCCTGAAGTCAGCCCAGGATGAGGCACTAGACAGTGGGATATGCTCTGTGCCCTTGGGCCTGCTGGAAGTATGCAGACTACCCAGCCTCAGACTTCATCCTGCCCTGTCCTGCCTTTCCTGTGAAAACCCTGTAGCCTCTGCCTCCCCTGGACCTGACTTCTGCCCCCGCCCAGCTCTGCAGCTTCCCTGGGGCCCTGTCTGCAGTGTTTTGTCCCTTCTCTTGACACTGTGAGTGATAAACTTGTTTCCATGTCGGTAACTATATGTGTTCACTCACTCACCTTGACGAGTCCACGTCCAGGCCTCACCAGTGTTGTGGTTTTCCTCATAGTCTTTCTACCTAAGCACATGTCCATGACAAGGTCTTACCCAGCCCAGGCATTCTTGAACTATCTGTAAGAGCTGCCGTGTTGACTCCTGGGCAGTTTTATTCTTTCTCTCTACTGGTTCAACCTCATTAGGGAGTGACATTTTTTCCAAAGTGGTTGTGAAACAGCATCTCTTTGGGGTGCTGGTTTGCACTTCTCTTGATTATTGATAGTATGAACATGGTTTTACTTACGTTGGCTATTTTCCTTTTTGGATGAAATACCTGGACTTGTTTTTTCCTGATTTGTTTGGTATTTGTTCTTTTTTAGAAATGGGGAGGCTGTTGTGAGGTGAGATGGGGAGGCTGTTGTGAGGTGAAATAGGGAGGCTGTTGTGAGGTGAGATGGGGAGGCTGTTGTGAGGTGAGATGGGGAGGCTGTTGTAAGGTGTGATGGGGAGGCTGTTGTGAGGTGAAATGGGGAGGCTGTTGTGAGGTGAGTCACCGCTTGTGACTTAGAAGATTGTAGGCTGGGCGCGGTGGCTCAAGCCTGTAATCCCAGCACTTTGGGAGGCCGAGGCGGGCGGATCACGAGGTCAGGAGATGAAGACCACCCTGGCCAACATGGTGAAACCCCATCTCTACTGAAAATAGAAAAATTAGCAAAATTAGACCAGCCTGGCCAACACACTGAAACCCCATCTCTATAAAAATACAAAATTAGCCGGGGGTGATGGTGGGAGCCTGTAATCAGAGCTACTTGGGAGGCTGAGGCAGGAGAATGGCGTGAACCCGGGAGGCGGAGCTTGCAGTGAGCCGAGATCGCGCCTTGATGGTGCCTTAAGGAAAAAGTAAGGAAAAATTTCGCTGGGCACGGTGGCTCATGCCTGTAATCCCATCACTTGGGGAGGCCGAGGCGGGTGAATCACGAGGTCAGGAGATGAAGACCACCCTGGCCAACATGGTGAAACCCCATCTCTACTGAAAATAGAAAAATTAGCAAAATTAGACCAGCCTGGCCAACACACTGAAACCCCATCTCTATAAAAATACAAAATTAGCCGGGGGTGATGGTGGGAGCCTGTAATTAGAGCTACGTGGGAGGCTGAGGTAGGAGAATCACTTGAACCGGGGAGATGGAGGTGGCAGTG